AAATCGTATTCTAGAACGAACCCGGATTTATGAAATCCTTCTAATTTTATAGGCTCTTAAAGCTTTAATACTCGCTGTATAATTTAAAATCTTAAAAATGATTGTTTTCAGAGATTCAAACAGAAATATGTGATTATTTCGGAAGATGAAAACTGTGATAGTGACATAGTTTTTTTTAAATTGTTTGAGAAGCTTAAGTCTTAAAATGGAGGCGGTTCAGTCATTTAATCACGAGATGTCTTCGTTATACGAGCAGAAGCCTCCTATATCGAAGGCTAAAATGACTGCCATAACCAAGGGGGCAATTCGGGCCATTAAATTCTACAAACATGTTGTACAGAGCGTTGAGAAATTCATTCAGAAGTGCAAGCCCGAGTACAAGATTCCTGGACTGTATGTCATAGACAGTATAGTCCGACAGTCCAGACACCAGTTTGGACCAGACAAGGATGTCTTTGCACCTAGATTTGCCAAGAACGCCAATGTCACCTTTTTCTACCTTTACAAATGTGCGGAGGAAGAGAAATCTAAAGTGATCAGAGTTCTCAACCTTTGGCAGAAAAACTCCGGTAAGCATTATTTGTCACATTTTAAGGAGTTAGATCTATCCGGGGGTTATATATTTTCTTGAATTTTTCGGGAAAATTCGCGGAATTTCATTTTGAGGAATTAATCGCTGAATTGGGGAAAAATAAATGATTTTCAGGAAATAATAAATAAACTTCAAGGTACATTTTTTTTGAAAAGATTACATTGAACGACACCAATGGGTCACAATTTTTTCTTTTCCCCAGAGCAATTTTCCCCCTGGATTCATCCTTGCCTGCGGTGGTTTTACCTCTATCGCTTTAGGACCCCCGCCCCCCAATAACAAAATCGCCATCGTCAAATGCAACGAAGTTTCTACCCGTTATATTAACTATATCGGACATGTTAAGTCCAAAGCAACAAAATTATTTTTTTTAACCTTTAAGATCTTTTAATAAAAGTCAAGTAGAAAAAAACTGTCAGCATTCTTTTCGTAGTCAGGCTAAAAATGTGAACATTTTCTACAGTTTTTTTCAGATGAATTTAGAACTATTCAAATAATTCCTTGAAACGAACATAGCGCACAAAACGCTCAAAGATATTTTTTAGATTCAATACTTCTTTCAAAATGATTCTCGCGTTATGCCAGAAAATCCCTGCATAAAACGTTTGTTTATAAAAGAAACTATACGTTGGAAATTATTTATGAATCCACGAAATTTTTACATTATGGAGAGAGATTTTTAGATCTTATGTAAGTGCATGACAGGTTCATATTTTCGAACCCCCCTTGAAAATATTTTTCTCAAGATTAAAGGAGTGCTAGCTAGCGTGAAGCGGAATATTGTTTAAAAGTTTTATTCACTAAATAAGGAAAAAAATTTGTTAAATGCTTGACCTTGTGGATAGCAGTATATGGCAGTATAAAATCTTGACAGTTTATGTTCATATTTTGTTTTTCTTCTACAGAGCATTGAAAACTATAAAATTATAAACCTCTTAAGCTTGCAAATAATTTTAAAAATAAATTAATTTTTGCAAGTAAATATTGGTCCTTGGGGAATTTGGCTTCAAAACATAGCTTTTTTATCTTCGTAATTTGTCGAAAAAAAATGTTCTAGCTAGAGGAAGTGTCTCGAATGAAGTTATAACTGCTAAATCTTGTTGACGCCAAATATCGTAGTCGTTTATTGACCTCAGGCCAGAGACCTACAGAATCGTAACCTATGATTTAATTGTTTTTAATGTTATCTTGCCCAAAGGTTGGTTGACGGCTAATTTGTTCCTGCCGAACCGATTGAACGCCCGAACACATTTCAGTTATTTAAAACATGTTAGGGCTTCGATGATACTAATCACAAGGGTTTATTTGAAAGTAAAAGACAAAACAATTATTGTAAGTTAAGTTTTATTAGCTATTATTTATCTTACAGTTAAACCCCAAATGAGCCATACATCGAAAGAATTCATCAATTGTCGTATTCTTCACTTTCTGATAATGGAATGTTGCAGATATTAAGTATTTTAAATTACATGATAATATGGAGCTCTTAAAACTTTTCCCGCATATTCATGGCTATTAATTTATCGTTAATACTGAGATTTAAGTAAAATAGTATAAAAGCCATTGAAAAATTGTCAAGACGACATTTAATAAATTCTATCGATGTATGGCTTATTTAGGGTTTAATTTTATTAACACGTTATTTTGCAGTATTTCCGAGCGAAATTGTTCAACCTCTGTTTGACATGGCGAACCCCGCTTCTGAGATATATAGGTCTCTTGACAACCAGCTTAGAACCACAGGTACCAATTAAAAAATGTTTCAGGTGTATGCCGCTACCCCCCCCCCCTTCCCATACATTTTTTCTTAGTTTTCTCTAATTATTGACAAAACATTATTATTAAACCCCCAAGTTAGATTAAAATCTTATCTCGAAATCCTTGATCACCTTATTACTATTGAAATTTATTTTTAAACAAAATATAACTATAGCTATTCCGATAAAATATCTATATATATATATAAAGTTGTAATCTCTTTTTGTTTGTTTGTCTGTCAGATCATAACTCATGAATGTCTTGACAGATTTGCTTCAAATTTTGATTGGGGAACTCGGGAGAACAACGGGAATGGTTTTGTCTTTTTTAGATTATAAGTTGCGCGGGTCCACTTTAAACGGGAAAATAGCTAAAATCATAACTTACGACCAAGCGCGGGTAAACAGTGCTAGTAACTTTGAGTACGCTCCGCAGTGCGCAACACTGGGTTCTCAAGCTATCCAATAAGAACGTTCTTCAATATAAAAATGGTTTAATCTTGTATTGATCGAACATTGAAATATTTCAACTGTTTCTTAATTAACGTTTTACTTAAATCAAACAAATTCTGCTAAAAATAATATTAGCAAATCAAATTAATTATGTTTTCAGATCGAAACTAAAATAAAAAAATGTGCAAAAAAAAATAAAGAAAAAATTGTAACAATGACACAAAAAATTGCAACAACACAAAATACTAAAAGAAATAGTTAAAATAGAAAAAAATTGCCAAAATATAGATGTTTACAATAAATACTGAAAATAAAAACATAAAAATATGTTCAGGTAAGCTGCAGCAGAGTGGTCCAACTCCTCTTAAAGAGACAAAGCGCGAAAGCAGTGCGCACAGTCATAGCAGCAGCAGTAATGGGATAGATAAGAAGGATATGCAGCAGTTACAGACTATTAAACAGCTGCTTAGGAACCCACCCCCTGTACAGGTAATACGAGCTTTTTTCAAAAAAAATCTGGGGGAAATAAATCAAAATTAATGTCGAATTTTACCTGGAAGATAGTTTTGGTGATTTTAATAACACAATTTTGTGAAATTTGAAAAGTTAAGATATTTTAATCTTAGACAAGAGTTCATCTAAATATGATAATTCAGTTGCCATGATGTATTAAGAAGATCGGAAGTCTGGGACCATTCGAATTGAGTCTTTGCCAAAAATTCTAATTTATAGATCCCAAAAACAGCTTTTTAATATCTAAGGTCTACGACCATGGGTTACGGTAAGATTTAGGGAAATTCATAGCTTGTGACAAAGACTCATTTCTTTTAATGAATAACGAGAATTAGTTGAACTACTTGGATTAAGTTAAACCACTTTTCTTTACTTAACCGGAATAAAAAACTATAATACCTTAAGTCTACCGTAGTCTACTTGATGCTATCATTAAGTTTGGTCCATGGACCATTAGGATCCGTATCCTCAAGATTTTGACTTCAAGGGACAAGCCAAAAATTGTCAACCAAAACCTGCTGAAAAATCTTTTTGCTTTTTAAAAAAAGAGATTTTTAAAAACTTCCTAATCTCTTTATGGTTATTGAAACCCTCATAAAATCAAAAAAGATATTTAAAAGTTTAGTTTAAATGTTTTCGTAAAAATTCTCGTTGTTTAGTTTAACAAGAAACTGCTGGACTTTGATTATGGAAGTGATGAAGAGGAGGGAGGTGATAATCAAGATCCAGTTACACCACAAACTGTTGATGCAATCAAGGTTTACATTTTCTATACAATACCGTTTTTTATATAATATGTAAAATATATAATTTTTGCAAACTTCGAAATTTNCCTAAGTGAAATACCATGGACAATGCCGGGCACTTCAGCTAGAAAATTCAGAATACCATAGTTTCGTTTCAATTCCATGTTGAAATCAATGAGCTTTATCAGATAACTTCAATTTTTCTTTAAATGTCTGTAATTATATTTTGATTCAAAGAATTGACCTCTAATTTCTTATAAAAATGATTTATCTAACATATGAATATTAATGTTTAATTCAACATTAATACAGGATATGAACATTAATACAGGATATGAACATTTATACAGGATATGAACATTAATATAGGATATGAACATTAATATAGGATATGAACATTAATACAGGATATGAACATTAATACAGAATATGGTTAGTGGTTACACACAAAAAATGAGACTTCAGTTACGACCTTTTCTTCAATCTTTTTGTTTTGTTTCACCCAGGGTTCCCTGCACCTGCAAATTGTTTCTTTCTTTGCCAGATTATTAATGAGTTTTTGGTTATTATTGACGTCACATTTTCTGTGGTTTACCCTGTATCAATACCTCACGCGACATAATTAAAAAGGAGCTATTTTTTGATTCAAAAGCTTTTTTAGATATGATTTCAGATGGGGAATCATTTTGTATCGCTTGTTTAGTCACATTCATTAGAATAATATCAACATTTTTTAATATTTTTATCTATGTTTAGGCTCTGTTAGGAAATCCAGCACTGTTAAACTATCTAAAATCTAAACGTGAGATTGACGATGATCAAATAAATCAACTGAAACAGCTTCTACCTGGGGCTGGACCCCCTGATCCAGCTCCTCCTCCTACTCATCAGGTCGGTGGGCTTGTTTTCTATCATAGACAGACAAAATTGTAAAATACTTCTAGATTGTTTCAATTCTTGCAAGATTATCATTAAAGACAATCTTTAAAAAAAAAAATGCATTGGGTACTATGTTTGCTAATTAGTTTACACCCAATAGCTCAAAATTGATATCGCTTACTTAATAAAAGATCTGTGGCCGAATTTAAAGAATTTGAGCGGCGGTTTAAATTTAAGCCGCGGCTTAAATATGATTGGTTCCACTTAAAATTGTATCAAATGTTTCAAGATTTAAACCGGCGCTTAATTAAAACCGGGTTTTGGAGGATTTAAACCGCGGCTCAAATTCTTTAAATTCCATCTCTGGAAATGTTAGTTCCCTAAAATGCAGATTTACCATGGTACCTATAAAAGCTTTGCATGATCAAAAACTATGTGATAGCCCATATCTTCTGTTCAAAATTTATTATGTCAATTGTGGGTTCTCTGTAAAGTTCAGCTTTAGAATCAGTGGAGGAAACTGTCAAAATTAAACACTTATAAATCTAGAAAAAATCTAAAAAATCTATCGTTGTAAATTAGACACTCCCTTCTTTAAATAAAAAGTCATTTGAACACGACATTAGTAGTATAAATCCAGTAACTAATTAATACCATGTTTAGATGCATGGGCAGTTCAATATTCCTGGACTTGGGCATACCCACAATATGGGCGGGCAACCTCCCTTGAACCAGGGGCATGGACACATGGTTGTACAGGGACATCTAGGAGTAGGGCACATGGGAGGACCTAATCAACCATTTTCGTCAATGCCTCCTCAACAATTTATGGGTAGGTTTAGATATTTTGCTAACCAAATTTATTAGAAGCCAAAGTCCGCACTTGTCAGCCAAAAATGGGGATTTGGATTTACTCAGGCATTAGAAAATAATATTTTTTTAGTTATCATATTAAATAAATCTACTTCTGGGAGTCCGATTGGTCGGGTAAGTCTCCTGCCTAGGATAAAGCAGTTTGTTTTAGTTATGTATACACTTTGGTGACGAGGAGCGTCGACCCCCATTTCATTGATTGATAGGTTGTCTGCTAATAAAAAAAAATAAAATTTGTATAGAATTGGTTGTTTGCTGATAAAAAAATATTTAATTGCTCTGTTGTATTATTAAAAAATTGATAAGAGTTAGATATTTTTTGATTTGATACAAAGCCGGATCTGTATACAAAATCTATTATAAGCATTTGTGAAAATACTGAATTTTTAATTACTTTTTTATTTTTTCAGGTCCACCGCCTGGTTTCCCGTCTTCTATGGGTCCACCCTCTGGGCTACCTATGGGTATGATAGGGATGCCACCAGTAAGCATAGCCCCATCAGGATTTATGGGAATGGATCTTCATCAGAGACCACCACCTAGACAATCACCTCTCGAAGAAGGTTAGCACCTTAAAATATGATTAACCATCTCAAATGTAAAAGAAACTCACTCAAAGCAAAGTGATTGAGCTCTTTTTTCTTCGTGCTAAATGAATATTCAAGAACAATCCAGATTTAGGTGGGAAATCATGTATTATGAAATTGTGGAATGCTTGAAATCGATCTTAGGCTGATCTTAAAAATTAATTTAATTCGATACTCTTCAGTGCGGCAAACGTTCAACTAATGAGAGAATACAGAAAGTAGGAATATCCAAAATCAAGAGCTCAATCAGATTTTCCCTGAAATTCAAATGTGCCATGCCCACTGTGGATATCGAGATCAAGCGACCGGGATTATGAGTGTCCAGTGAAAAATTCCCATTTTGAAAATAAGATCTTAGATGTTAATTTTATTTACAACATAGTTTTGGTATTTTATAATCCCGTATTCTTCCAGGTGAGCACGCAGCAGAAGATTCTGAAGACGATGTTATGATGTTGGATGATTCATCCCGTCGTCATAAAAAGGATCGTCGGCGGTCGCGATCACGTGATCGCCGATCAAGATCTAGGTCTGGAAGTAAAAATAAGAAGGGGAAAAGACGCAGAGGCGACAGGTAACAGAATTGAATTAAAACAATATCCCGCCGCATTGTAATTGTCTTTTTAACACTTATAAGCTTAAAATTGAAACTAAAGTATAACGTTTGGCTGCATTTTTTATCATTATTCAACTAAAAACTTTTGAACAAAATATTGAAGCTGAGAATTTGTGAAATTAAACGTATTAGTTAAGTGACTTCAAGTGATCTAAACAATTTAGTAAAACTTAAGAAAAATCCACGACAAACTTTTGTTATTTGATCTGTATATCACATGTCAGTTTTATCAAGTTTAATACAAGTTCTAAAACAAAGAATATGTCAATTTTTAGAATCCTTTGTATTTCAAATATTCAAATCAAGAAATTATTCTAATATCTGTTAAAATTCTCTTTAAAATCTGTTTAATCAACTAATGTTCACTTAACGTTTACCATTTTATACCTTAAACATTTTTATTAAAATAATGAAATCACTTTTTAGATCACGATCCAGATCAAGGTCAAGAGATCGTCGTAAGAAGAGATCTCGATCCCGTGAGCGCGATCGTGAGCGTGAGAGAGACAAGGAGCGTGAGCGGGAGAAAGAGAAAGAGAAGGAGGAGAAGAAACGGGCGAAGGAGGAAGAAGATAAGGTAACAGTTTAAATATTATCAGTTATTTAAGTAGTTGTCGCGTTGTTGTACAATTAAATTTCAATAACTTTAAATTATACTTTTTGTGCAACCATTTTCTCATTCTTCATCATTCAGAAATACAAATTTCGCAGATGATTTTGGGCCACGTCAACGGCGGGCCATTATAGAATTTCTTTACTATACAAAAAATTCTGGAATACGTAAAGAACTTAGTTTTTGGGACTAAACACTGGTTCAGCAGTCTGTTTACAAACAATCTAATTAGGGTAATGTCGAAACAATATTTACAGTTTTGATATGAAAGGGGGGTGGGGGTTAGTCTATTTGTTTGTCCGCTTATTCCTTATCTTGAAATACTGGGTATAATTATATGTTTTGGTTCAAGCCCAGTTTTGAATGCCTTTGTTGACAAATAACCACTATACATTAGTACAGCCCCCAAAACTGAGTTCATTATGAATTAAAGAATTAGTGTATTCTGAGTACACAATTCTCTTATGGCCTGGCCTTATCTTACCTAGGGCCAAGTGATGTCCCACACTCTAAAAAATACATCAGACTAATACAGTTTGATCCCTGGACATATCCACTCCAATTTCTTTGTTTTATAAAGTTGTTAAATAACTTTCAACGTGTGTTTTCGCTATAGGTGAATTAAAATCATTATTTTATTGAACTAAAATGTAAAAAATGTCGTTTGCTTTTGTATACTGCAGCTAATATATTGTTTTAAATTAATTTTCCTATTTTAAATAGGGAGGCTGCGCCATCTTCTATTTTAATTGTGAACATTTTCTCTTTGAATATCATTGTAAAACAAAAACGAACAAAAAGTTATAAGGGTTTCAATTTTGACAATAAATATTTATATCAAAATTTGGATGATTTTCGTAAAAGTCCCAAAAAGCAAAACAATTAGAAGACGATTCTAGCAAGGGGATTCTAGGATAGGGCCAGGAGGGGGGGATAACATTTTTTTCACTCCTCCCAACCCCCTCTTTGTCAGGGATTTAGAAAATGATGATATCCCCCTCATGGTTACTTAGATATTGAGTTAGGATAATGAACCAGTAAAGAAAAAAAATTCAGATTTGAAAATATCAAAATATTATTTTTCGAATCCAATCACTCAGCAAAAAATGCATAACTTCCCTGTAAGATTTATGCAGTATGCTTCCTTTTGTCAAAGGCAATTTAGATAAATATTTTGTCTGGAGTTTTGCAATATTCTTTTCTTTTCCTTTTTAGTTATTACAAATGGCCATAAATTATTTTTACTTCAAGAAAAATAGCATCAAAAAGAAAAACGCCGTTTAAAGCTCAAAAAAGTCATTTCATGCTAAAAGCTTGACGCTCAAACTGAACCCTCAGCCATACTTTTTTTTATCGAGAAACTATAATGTGTAATGAGTCGTTAATTTCGACCTTTTCTAAGGTTTTCTGGTCCAAAAAAATGCCCCCCCCCTTACCTGAAAATTCCAAGCTACCTGCTTGCCAAAACTAAAGTATTATCTTTATTTAACTAAACAATTTTTTATTTATTAAGTGTTCCACAGGGAAAATGTTTTTAATCCATTCTTAAAATAGAATTTAAGTTTCTATACATTCTACATACAGAACCTTCCCACAATATTCCAGGGTTGTTTCCCCCCTTTCCGTCTGCCCCTTAGCTGGTTCAGAGTCGTTTTACTTTCATACAAGACTTAAAACTTAGCTAACATAAATTAGATTAGTTAAATGTTTTCATTCCATTTCACAGTTTTATGAGTCCCACTGTATAAAAGTTATGAAATTGAAATCAAAGAGTTAATAAACATTTACATTGCAGTTTTTGTTGATATTTTAACCCCTTGGATCACGATCCAGGAAGCTAAAATCTTACGGATCCAACGGATCCAGATCCTACGCACTGATTGTGACTTAGAACTGTAACTTAGAATTGGTCTTGGAATATAACTAAGACAGACAGTTGTGAATTAGACATAAGTGTGATGGAAAAGGCGTTTCAGACTTAATTAACAATTAGAATTCTGACTTAAAATGGGTCATAAACACAATAAAGTTAAAAAAAAAAAACATGATTTAGACCTAGTTTGTAGTTAGAATTGGGTTACATAGAAAGTGTTCTAGAATGCGTCTAATGCATGTTTGTGGCTTCGAAAGTGTTTGATATAATTGTTACTTAGGAAGTGTTTTAGAATATGTGTATTGCATGTTTGTGGCTTCGAAAGTGTTTTAGACATAATTGTGACTTAGAACTGTGACTTAGAAATTCTCAAAAGTATTAGTTTGACATAGGATGGTGACTTAGAAAGTGACTGAGACATAATTGTTACTTAGAAAGTGTTATAGAATGTGTCTTATGCATGTTTGTGGCTTCTTGAGTGTTACAGGCATAATTATGAATTAGCATTGTCTCAAAAGTATAAGTTCAACGTAGAATGGTGACTTAGAAAGTGTCTTATACATGTCTCCAAAGTAAGAATTTTTATAGACTTCTGACTTAGAATGAGTCTTGACATAGCTGTGACTTTGAATTGTGACTAAGATAGTGTCTTTGACATAGTTTGGTCTCAAAAGTTTGACGTTGTTGTAACCGTGACTTGGAACTGTGACTTGGAACTGTGACTTGAAATATGTCTTACCATGCCTTAGACATGGGTTTGAGTTAGAATTTTGACCTAGAATGTGTCTTTAAAGTAACTGAATCTGAATTCTGTGACCATAATATTTTAAAGTGACAGTTTTGATGCTTCAGTATTTTCAAAAAGGAAAAAATTTGATGCTTTCCTAATTTAGAGATTTCCGCAGCTTGGGTTATGATAGGTTACACAAAGCATCATAATTGTCCTAATTGAACGAAACAAAATATATTTCTCAATTGCTTCAACTACATTAATATGTTCATTGTAGAACGAAACAAAATAAAAAATATTATTTTTCAGTAAAATCTAACTAAGTGAATGAGAGAAACTTGATTTTTAAGAACTTATTTTCTAATTTTTTAAAATTATTTTCTTTTTACTTAATTTACTTAAATTACTTAATTTACTTTACTTATAATGGATTGTACTACTTGAGTAATAAATAATGAATTATAATACTGAAGCTAGATATTAAAGGTTCGGCTACGAGAAGAGGAGCGGAAGAAGAAGGGACTTCCTCCCATAAGACCAGGACATCTGTCAGTGTGCTCCACTACTCTATGGGTTGGGCACCTGTCTAGATTAGTTCAAGAGGATGATCTCTCGGATAATTTTGGAACATACGGGGAGGTACACATTTTTATTTCTTCATACTAGTGAGGTATAAAGAAGGTTTTATTAAATGGTTGATTGACTAGATATTTTGGAACATACGGGGAGGTACACATTTTTAATTCTTCATACTAGTAAGGTATAAAGAAGGTTTTATTAAATATTTGATTGACTAGATGATTAGATATTTGATTGATTGATTTCTCAATCAATTTCCCTTGGTTTAGAACACGTCACTGGAATTGAAAATGCTAATAAAATGTCCGAAATTCCTTAACTTTTTAACACAGAAGAGTTGACACGATTTAATCAACATTCAACATTCGAGGGTTGTTCAAGGTCTCTAGTAAAACAATTTATAAGAGAACTTAACTCAATCTGATTTGATACTCATTGTTAAACGCATTGAATTATTTAAAACCACATGAAACAAATAAAATTTGTAATTATTTTCGTTTTAGATAAATGCAATTGATTTGATTCCGCCCCGTGGATGTGCTTTTGTTTGCATGAACAGGTGAATATATACGGAGTTTTTTATTTAAATATTCTTAATTTTTGAAAGATTAAGAAATACCTTAATCGGGTCCTAAAAATATGTTTTAAGCAATCTCATCTTGTTAGTTTAGTTTTACAATTATGATTTAAAACTCCTAATGATCCAACTGATTGTGAGACTGTACAGAATCTGCAAAATAAGGATATGAAGCACAAATTGTTTTTTTTTTGCAGGCGTATGGATGCTTACCGATCCCTAAAGAACCTGAATAAATTCCGGTTGCATGGGAAACAGATAACACTAGCCTGGGCTCCTGGGAAGGGGATGAAGGCAGGATATTCAGTATTTTTTTTTTTTTTTGACTAATTCCATGATTTTAAGCAGTGCTTAGGATCCGGATCCGTGGGATCCGCAAGATTTTGGCTTCCTGGATCTGGATCCTCAAAAATATGCGGATCCACGGATCCGGATCCAAGGGGTAAAATATCAACCAAAAACTGCAAAAAAAAAACTTTTTGACTCCTAAAACCCAAATCTGAACTTTTGAAAAAAGAGAGATTATAAAAATTTCCTCATTTCTGAATGGTTCATCAAGTTTTAGGATAAAAATAAGCGAAAAAAATAAAACAATAAATTTCAGTATATGACCTGGATCCAAATCCGGATCAGTTTTTTTTCAATGCGATCCAGGATCCGGCTCCGCATCAAATTTCAATGGATCCTAAGCACTGATTTTAAGTATTACTTTTTTCAGTGTTTCGGATCCATATCATTTTGATTCGGATCCGGATCCGCGGATCCGCATCCGTGATGATGGATCCGGATCCTGATACGGATCCGGATCCGGATCCTGATACGGATCCTGATACGGATCCGGATCCGAGGTAACTTTTGATTCTGTGAATCGGATTTTCCCTATTAAATGTTATGCAAGGTTATAATTTATAAACTATAGTAATCCTAAAGTTAAAAATGTCGTCATTACTATTATATAAATGTAAACATTAAATTATTAAAGATAATTTTGAAAAATTTTCGTCATGTAAATAATACATTTACGAACCTTTTGATTTATTTATTCCATGGTTTTGGTTAATTTTTGGCGCTACCCGGATCCATATCAACGTTTCCTGATACGGATCCGGATCCGGATCCGACCAAATGATACGGAATCCGACCAAATGATACGGATCCGACCGGATCCGGATCCGGATCCGAAACACTGACTTTTTTCTTAGAATATAATCAATTTAAATTTCGTTCATTTACAGTTGTTTACAATTATTGCGTTAATTAAAATTTATATTATCATATATTATATATTAACATTGTACATAATTTTTTAATAATAATTAACTCGAGTTTGCGGATTTATTTTTAAAATTACATTAAAAAATGTTGCTAGATTTTAATCTATTTTTTGCAAAAACTCTAGTAAAAGGCAAATTCACAGTATTCCATTGAAGTTACTGTTCTTAATGACGTTAAGAATTTTGACATATCTCATAACTGTGGGGTATATGTTAAACATAGTTATTTACTCCGTTGAACAGATCAATGAGTATTACTGACAGTGAAATCATTTTTCTAATTTTTCAATTCAAAATCGAAATCTTCTCTTAAATCGTTAATAATATCTTACAATGTTTGTGTTTTCTGTCTGGAATCAAGATTTGTTATGTCGTGATGAATCTTCTTAATATACTTATCTTCATCTGAAAAAAAATACTAAATGTGGATAGGATAAGCAGTGGAAGGATTATTGGGATGTTGAAGTAGGAGTCTCCTATATACCTATTGATAAACTAGACCCTCAGGTAAACTATCAAGACTGGAGATTAAAGATAACCCAGGGGGAGTTGGGGGGTGGGGGAGCGTAACTTTTTTTAACTCTGGGGACGGGAGAGGGCTCATCTCACACTGGGAGGGGAATACTCCCCTGGGAGGGGGGGGGGGGTATCTGCCCCATAGTCCCTGTTTAGTGAATAATTTCCCTTGGGTGTAAACTTAAATTCAAATTATGAAGCTACAATGATAAAATCCAAATTGCTAGAGGTCAGCTCATTTTTTAAAAATTTTGTTTAGGTTAAGGTGTACAACACTATTGGGGTTTTAAAGTTAAAAAATGGCATGAACAAATAGCATTTGATTTTTCATCCAATTTTTTAGGCTTTTCAAATTTGCAAATTTTAGACTGGAATGTAACGTCTTGGTTGGTGGTTCTAACCCAAACTAGCTGACGAGACGTGAAACAATAAATTATCAATACACAATACTGTAATTTATTGGTGATATTTAATGAGCAACAATATGAATCTTAGAGCTACTATACAGTACACCCCTAGTAAAAATGTTGATTGGAAAGCAGCAGATAATATAATCTCGATTTTGGGTCTTCTAAAATTGGTCAAGCATATATTTTGGCGAAAGATCTTCTGCTATACCGATCTTTGAATAGGTTGACATGGCAGAGTTGGAGGAGGGAGGTATGTTTGATGAGGAGACTATGCCGGACTGGATGAAAACTATGCGTGGAGTAGCACTGTCTCGTCCTTCTCATTCTGTTCCTGTTTCCTTCCAGGATACTGTTATACAAGGTTTACCTCCAGGTAATCATTCATTCTCTTGAACATTCAAGTTTTCTAGACCATGGTTACTTACAAAGGATGAGACTTCAGAGACGACTGTACGGAATTAACCTATCTGTACTTATATTCATTATTCCCTAAAGCTTATAAACCACTTCATTTCTTTTCCCAAAAATTTTAAAGACCATATTCTGGCATATATAATGGCAGAATACTTAATTTAATCTTAAAAAGGTCATATTTTAAAAGTTTCAGGTCTTCTTTACAGTCTCATCTTCACCTTTGATTTAGTATATTCACTTTTAGTTTGGTCCAGAAATTGTCCTAACTTGCATTTTTCCTGTTTGTCGCTTGCCCCTTAGTTGCGTTTTGCCCGTTTGTCGTTTGACCGTAGGTCGTTTTACCCTCACTCGGTGAACCATGTTTTAACTCTCGAAATCAGTGTTAACTTTCTTTTTTATTAAAAAATATTTTGTTTCTGGGAATCGAGGTCAGAATCTACACAACAGCTTGAAACTTTCTGTCAATATATGACAGTTTATATCTTAATGTGTCAATAGGGGTGGGTATAAATAGATTCGTCTGAAAATACTAAATTCAGAAACTTTTTTCTCATATATATATATATATAAATCCGGATCCGGATCCAGGTCATTTCTTTAAGATTTACTGAATTTTTTTTAACAAAAATCTTTTTTTTTTCAAATTTTTGGTTTTATTTTTTTCACTTATTTTTATCCTAAAACTTGATGAACCATTCAGAAATGAGGAAATTTTTATAATCTCTCTTTTTTTAAAGTTCAGATTTGGGGTTTGGGAAAAAAAATTATTTTTGCAGTTTTTGATTGATATTTTACCCCTTGGATCCGGATCCTTGGATCTGCATATTTTTGCGGATCCGGATCCGGATCCAGGAAGCCAAAATATTTCGGATCCTAAGTACTGATGTTAGCTATAGCTGGCCAAACGACTGGACCGAATGGGCTGATTATTTTTTTGAGGGGCGTAATATAAGCTAAAAAAAATATTTTCAAAATAAGGTTTTTAAAAAATTCCACGGGCAACGCTGGACACTTTAGCTAGTAGTATATAATTTGTAACCTGTTATTCTGACGTTTTCTTTAAAATCTTTACAAAAATGTTTTTCTTGTGTTTTGACTAGGGGTCAAAGCACTAAATTCTTGTACAAACTGGAATTGAATTCAAAGCGTAAATTATTCTTCGTTAACGCACTGAGCTGGGTCGTATCGTGTTCTGAATTTTCTAGTATATTAAGCCCTTGATATCTACTGCTAATTTGATGTATTCTACGCACACCCTTAAATTCCTGAACAATAATGATTTTTTTCCAAATTTGAACACATTATGACACAAAACGTTTATTTAAGTTAAATTAAATCTTCAATGAATAAAGCTTCATTAATTTATTCTTAAAGGTCAGGGGTGTGTTTTTTTTTGGAAAAATCTCCATTTTTCTAAAATATTTGTCATCCCCAGAATGTTGAAAATAATAAAAACACACTTGCCTTCGCCACAGAGCATCTAATTTCATTTCTTTTTGCACCGCACACATTTTACATTTTTAAGTCTAAACCGCACAAAAATTGTTCAGCTCAGTTTTTTTATAAAAAAAAAAATGTACACCCAGGTTTCTGGCTTATACATATGCTAGGCTTATAGGTCGCTTCATGTCCATCTTCTATTTAAATTGTGAACATTTTCTCTTTGAAAATATTGTAAAACAAAAACAAAAAAGTTTGCGGATTTTTTCTGCAAGAAATCGTAGATTTTCGAAATTTTATGTAAATCGATTTTTTTAGAGGAAAATTTTGGAAATTTTGATCATTCAGAAACCTTCCCTTGGGTCGTGCGAGATCAAGGTCACACACACAATTTTGCCGGATCGGTTCAGCCGTTTTGACGTTTATGGATACGAAAGGACAGTGTAAATATAGATTTATACTTATACTTTTCTGGACAAAATACCTTTTTTCACATCTAATTATTTTTGGTTTGTACTTACTTCAGTGTACTTCAGTGTACTGCGCTTTATGCAAGCAAAAAAATTAAAAACTTTCATTTTTACAATTAGTAAATATTTTAGTTTTCTCGCTGAAGAATGTTAATCACTAGATTTTCTTCTTCTAAAATTATCCTACTTGAAAATAATTTAGGCCTGGGAATGCCTCCTCCACACGAGATTGGATTGCCTCCTCCTCTTAATATGGATCAGGGTCTCCCACCCCCCTTCCTACAACAAGGTGGTCCACAGGGGCTTCTAGGTCCACCGCCTGGTTTACTACCTCCCGGTGGACCACCTATGTTGGGACCAGGGGGTAATATATTGCTAAGACCAGGATATCCTGGACCAATGGTTCCTGGACCACCTCATCTTGTGTCTGGACCTCCTCCTGGTTTACAAGGGTTCGACATCAGTTTACCTCCCCCTCTCAGGTACTACAATATTCAAAATTAACTAATTTTCTCTTTACAACACACATTGTCTTTTGCCAATTATCTTGCTTCGCACCAATTTTTTTCACTATCTTTTTACATTGTTTAATGCAGTCACAGTACGAATATCTCAGATCTAGGCTGTATTTACTGCTAGGATCCGGATTCACTATCTTTTTACATTGTTTAATGCAGTAACAGTACTAATATCCAGATCTAGGCTGTATTTACTGCTAGGATCCAGATTCACTATCTTTTTACATTGTTTAATGTAGTCACATTACGAATATCTCAGATCTAGGCTGTACTTACTACTAGGATCCGGATTCACTATCTTTTTACATTGTTTAATGCAGTCACATTACGATCATATCTAGATCTAGGCTGTATTTACTGCTAGGATCCGGATTCACTATCTTTTTACATTGTTTAATGCAGTCACAGTACGATCATATCTAGATCTAGGATGTATTTACTGCTAGGATCCGGATTCACTATCTTTTTACATTGTTTAATGCAGTCACAGTACGGTCATATCTCAGATCTAGGCTGTATTTACTGCTAGGATCCGGATTCACTATCGTTTTACATTGTTTAATGCAGTCACAGTACGGTCATATCTAGATCTAGGCTGTATTTACTGCTAGGATCCGGATTCACTATCTTTTACATTGTTTAATGCAGTCACAGTACTAATATCCATATCTAGGCTGTATTTACTACTAGGATCTGGATTCACTATCTTTTTACATTGTTTAATGCAGTCACATTACGAATATCCAGATCTAGGCTGTATTTGCTACTAGGATCCGGATTCACTATCTTTTTACATTGTTTAATGTAGTCACAGTACGAATATCCAGATCTAGGCTGTATTTACTACTAGGATCCGGATTCACTATCGTTTTACATTGTTTAATGTAGTCACATTACGAATATCCAGATCTAGGCTGTATTTGCTACTAGGATCCGGATTCACTATCTTTTTACATTGTTTAATGTAGTCACAGTACGAATACTAGGCTGTATTTACTACTAGGATCCGGATTCACTATCGTTTTCATTGTTTAATGTAGTCACATTACGAATACCTCAGATCTAGGCTGTATTTACTGCATAGATAGTAAATTCGCCATATTTTAGCTCACTATCAGGGTGTCCCAAATAATGCGACTTCACTGATCAAATCAAAATAACAAATCATTTAGCGTCAAAAGAGCTTTAAACACTGATCACAGGTGTTGCACAAAGAGAGATCGGTATAACTTAAAAGCGCAAAAATTATCTAGTTTCATGAGATGGTTCAGAATCCCGATACTTTTTTAATTTGACCACCTGGAATAAAACAAAATCGGACAAGGGAACTGAAATGTCTGCACTTAAACTAATTAAAATGATTAAGGTTCGGTGGACCCCCTGGTCTAAATCTTGGTGGTGGATTACTGGGAGCTCCTCCCCCACATCTTAATAGAGTTCCTGAATCCAAGGGACCTGGAGATATGGATATCGAACAGAGTGATGAGGTACTTCAAGCAGATTTTTTTTATTTCTTCGTAATAAACGAGAAATTCAGCTTTTGTTTACAGATTCTTGTATTCGTTTTTGAATTTTATCAAAATAATTGTGAGTTAAACTTTAAAGAAAATCTCTTTTTTTAAGGTTCTCAATTTTCCCCCCTAAAACTTTTCTTCTTAGGAAAAAGATGATCGCCGAAATCGTCCGGATGGAAGAGACAGCAGAGACAGGGGTCGTGATCGTGGACGATCCCGAGACGGGGACAGGGATCGAGATCGGGATCGTGATAGAGATCGTGAGCGAGATGACAGGCGGGGATCTCGATGGGGAAGAGATGATGATCAAGATGGAGGTGGTAATAGGTATTCGACACTTGTTTATCTTTAATCACACACTTCTGAATAATGGTACTAAATGCTCATGTTTTCTAGGCGTGAAAGGTCACGTGATGGAAGTAGGAGAGACAGCAGGGGAAGGGACGGCGACCGGGAAAGGGGTGGTCGTGACGGAGATAGAGGAGGTCGTAACGGAGAGGGAGGTGGTCGTGACGGAGAAAGAGGTGGTCGTGATGGAGATAGAGGAGGTCGTGATGGAGAAAGAGGTGGCCGTGACGTAGATAGAGGCAGTAGGAACGGAGAAAGAGGAAAGCGAGAGTCGAGATGGGGTAAAGAAGAGAAGGACGGGCGAGGGGACAAGGGTGAGTACCCTTAGAAGATTATCAAAAATTTGTAGCAGTTTCTTTTTAAAAAAAAATCCCCCAATTGAACATAATTGAACTTTAATGATTTTATAAAAATGTTTTAATATATAATCAATTTTTTTAATTAAAACCGAAAATATCCTTGATCCTTTTTCTCCACCTTCAGAAACTGCTTCAAGTTATTGTGACTGAAAAGTTCGTTTTTCGGTCAATTTTGTGATTTAAATAATTATCATTGGCATTAAGGTCTCAATGGATTCCTTACTTGAAATCTTTAACTAGTCCGATAAAAACATGTGCCAATGATCATTATACTTTTTTAGAACCACAAATAGTCGGTTCGGAGGAGATCTGTTTGATAAATAACCCATTTGGTTTTATTTTTTATGAAAAATACTTCTATCATCAATTGTAAAAATAGAAAAACAGATCTCCTTAAATGTTGTTAAAAAGATTAAATTCACGCAGGTAAGGAAAAGAACTAAGCCAAGATTGGGGTTCTCAAACTTGTCTCTTTTTTCTTAATCACATGAATAACAATTAATGTACACTTCCTTGGGGACCAGAACATCCCCAGAAATGTTTTTTAATAATAATAATAATAACACTTTACCCTTTTAAGGATTAGTATGAAATTGATGTGTTTTAGGAGAAGATCGAGAGAGAAAGAATGAAAATGAAAACAACGTTCGAGCTCCAGAATCTCCTTTTGGAGCCCAGACACCTTTTGTAGGGCCTAGATTTGGAGGTCCCCGGTTTGGTAACCCTGGTGGACCTCCAGGTTTCGATGGACCCCCACGTTTTATGCCCCCAAGATTTGATGGTCCACCAAGATTTGACGGACCTCCGAATGGCCCTCCACGATTTGATGGTTCTGCAAGATTTGAAAATCCTGTCAGATTTGATTTCCGAGGACGTGGAAGAGACTGGATGGGGCGAGGAGGACCCCCAGAATTCAGGGGAGGTATGGATGGATTTAGAGGAGGTCCTGTCGGGCCTCATGGATTCCGAGGTCGTGGGGGACATGACGGATTTCGAGGAGGTCACGAAGGGTTTCGGGGAGGTCATGGTGGGTCGGATAGAGGTCTTGACGGATTTCGGGGTCGTGGCCGGGGCAGAGGATTTGGACCAGGTAACTATAAACTATGAACTTTTGTTAAATTTCTCAATCTCCATAATTTCGTGACCTAATATTTTCTGTGTTCAGGATGGGATGTACCGGAAGGGTTTGGAGGAATGGGACCTGGGGGTCCCAGGGGTATCATCCAGAACAACCAGGAACAGAATTAACTTCAAAATATTTCAAGACTTTAATTTACTCTGCTTATTAAACCTTATAACGTTCATTAATCCTTTTCTAGAAATTCATATATTTTTATCTTCTAATTAAAATAAGTTTTGTCCCGTTTGATTTTGTTTTCAATATTTAATGTCAAAGAGAAATTTAAATAAGAACACTTATCCTTTAATGATTTTACTATTTATAAAAAATTAACTTGAATTTAATTTAAGACGAATTCAACATGTTTTGAACAATGAACATGAACTCTATCTAAACGTGCAATATTACATGAATGGAAAATGTTTTGAACATTGATCATGTACGAAACAAATTTAAGAAGTTTTATTAACTATTGGAACTTTTTTCTCAAAAATTATGAATTTATTGATAATGATTAAACATGAATTGGAATAAAAATTAAATATATACTTATTTGAACTGGAATGGTTTTGAACTGTAATGGAGCCTGAATTGAATCTAAATTAGAATGAAATGTTACTAGAATTTAACCGGAATTAAGAAGGAATTGAAATGCAGATGTAAGGGAAATGGCATTGATATGACATGACATGACATGACATGACATGACATGACATGACATGACATGACATGACATGACATGACATGACATGACATGACATGACATGACATGAATGACATGACATGACATGACATGACATGACATGACATGACATGACATGACATGACATGACATGACATCATGACATGACATGACATGACATGACATGACATGACATGACATTGAAATGGCATTGAAATGATATTCAAACGATATTGAAATTATATTGAAATAATAGTGAATTGATATCGAACGGATATCGAAATGATATCAAAATGATATCAAAATGATATCGAAATGAGATCGAAATGAGATTGAAATGATTTCGAAATGATATCGAAATGATTATCGAATTTATGTCAAATTGATATCGAAATAAAATCGAAATTATATTGAGATGATATCTAAAGGATACCGAAATGATATCGTATTGAGATTGAAATGATTTCGAAATGATATCGAAATGATGTCGAAATGAGATGAAATGATATTTAAATAATATCGAAATCAAATCGCAATGATATCGAAAAAATATCGAAATGATATCGAAATAATATTGAAATGATTTGGAAATTATATCGAAATTATATCGAAATAATATCGAGATGACATCGAAATGAGATTGAAATAATATCGAAAAGATGTCGAAATGATATTTAAATGATATCGAAATGAAATTGATATGAAATTGAAATGAAATTGAAACGAAATTGAAATGAAATTGAAATAAAATTGAAATAAAATTGAAATGAAATTGAAATGAAATTGAAATGAAATTGAAATGAAATTGAAATGAAATTGAAATGAAATTGAAATGAAAATTGAAATGAAAATTGAAATGATATTGATATGATATTGAAATGATATTCAAACTATATTGAAATAATAATGAATTTATATTGAATTGATATTGAATTGATATCGAATTGATATCGAAATTATATCGAATTGATATCGAAATAACATCAAAATAAAATCGAAATGAGATCGAAATAAAATCGAAATGAGATCGAAATAAATCGAATTGAGATTGAAATGATTTCGAAATGATATCGAAATGATGTCGAAATGATTTCAAAATGATTTCGAAATGATTTTGAAATTATATTGAAATGATTTCGAGATGACATCGAAATGAGATTGAAATGATATCTAAAATATATCGAAATGATGTTAAATTGATGTTGAAATGATATTGAAATGAAATGGAAATAACAGAAATTAAACAAAAATATATGTTAGAAGAATTTCTGCGCCATTACATTTTATTAAAACTTTATGAAATTCAATGAAATTATTTAGTTTAATTTGTTTTCATAATCTACAGAGCAATCGCTTCTTGCAACCTTATAAATTTCGAATTCTTGAATTGTAATAGTTTTTCTGGAATTTATTAGTTTTCCCCAATCCCCTTTCCCTTTAAACCTACAAAACATAAGGTTAATTTCTGTCAACAGGAAGCAGAAAATGAGAATGAGAAAGAAAAAGGCCCAAACAGTGGCAAGTAAGTAAAAGTTTATTTTACAGATATGCAAGGAATTGTATTGAAAGACGTGGTTTAAAATCCCAATTTTGGCTTTAGTTCTTTTAGCAAACTTGTTTGCTATCTTAGGGAGAACAGTCCTTCGTCAGTTTCAGCGGATCTGCGACACATGGAGCGAGAATATAGAAAAAGAGATCTACTATAGTCTTTCATTTAAATTCATTTACAAATATCAAAAAAGTATTTAAGTTAATACAAGAAACAAATACATACATATCCAAGGCTGGCCTTCTTAATGCGTATATGGCATATGCAATAAATCAGAAATTAAACAATTTCTTTTTAAAACAGATTTATGTAATATTCTTTTTTTAAAGTGTTTACTGTTTACGCCATGAAATTTTGGCATAGATTTTTGTTATCTTTTGCGTCAATTAGTAATTCTGTAGTACTTGCGTAATATTGAAAATGGGACGTGAATAGATCTGTACGAAAGCTTTACAATTTACTGGTTGCCCAAAAACATGGAAATAACATAAGGTCTCATACCTTCGTAACATTTTTTTTTCTAAAAATGAACATGTAAGAATCATATTTGGAACATTTAAACGCTATTTTTTTCTAACTTTGAAATCTCCAGACTGGTGGTTAGCTGTTTTTTTTAACCTCATTTATGTTTGTGGGGATATAATAAGAATATCTTTCAGTTTGCTGTTTACTGTTATTAAATAAAACCGAAATTGCCCAAATATATTGTTCCTTTTTAAGATAAAAACACAATGGACCACATTATTGAAAGCTTTTTTGTTTATTTTTTCCTCAATTCAGTTTCAAATACTGAAGAAGATTTATGAATAATTACCACCCTGATTTACATCCTGTGAAATGTGAATTCATTGCACAGTATGTAGTAAATTACATTTATGCAGCTCTTATTTTAAAAGGAAATTCTTTACAAAGACATACAAGGCCGGGTTAGAAATGTAAAATAAATAAGGAATTATGAATAGATAACTTTGGTAGTAAAGAACAATTGAATTGTTTTTTCCAAACACCGTTCTTTTAAAAATTTCATTAGACAGGATCATTTGAATTTAGGAAATTTAGCGTCCTAGTGTTTTTTTACCAAATAAATTGATTATTTTTATTAATCCCTATATCCAAATTAGGAATAAACTGTTTTTGATCGCTGAAATCAAAGACCCTAGAGGGGGAAGGGAATGAAAAAGGGTAGGAAAAGTTGAAGGGAACGGGGAAGTGAAACGGGGTAGGAAAAGGGAAGAGAAAGGGGAAAAGAAAAGGGAAAAGAAAAGGGAAAAGAAAAGGGAAAAGAAAAGGGAAAAGAAAAGGGTAAAGAAAAGGGTAAAGAAAAGATAAAGAAAAGGGGAAAGAAAGGGGGAAAGAAAAGGGGGGGGGAAAGGTAGGGGAAAATGACAGGAAAAGGTTCAGAAAAAAGTAAAGGAAAAGGGGAAAGTAGGAAGGTGTAAGTGATGAAGGTGGGGATGGTAGTGGATAGGTAGGGAAGGAGATATTTACGGAAGAGGAAAAGTAGGGACAGGAAAGGTTGAGAGGGAAAGGGGAAGGCTGAGAGGAATATAGGGAAGGGAAGTAGAAGGGAAAGGTAAGAGGAAGGTAGGATAGATGGAGAAAGAGAACGCATGGCAGGGGAAGGTAGAGAAGCGACGGAAGGTTGGCAGATAAAGAAGTAAAAGAAAAGGGAATGCAAGGAAGAGAATGGCTGAAGCTCTCTACCTCTACCTAACTACATAACTTTATCTAAGACCAGAGAGTTTTTTCATAAAAAATTTTTCCCAATAGTTGTGTTGCAGCAAAAAAAAACATGTTAAAAAATGTTCGTGCTTCGCGCACAACTTCATAACAAACATGCTCATTACTCAATAATTTTTTCAAATAGTCATACATACTAACAAATTTCACAAATTCTCCCCCCAAGAAAAATGATGGGAAATGTTTCAAGAAACAATATACTCTTGGACAAAATCAATCTCGACTTTGTTTGCCTTTGCCACCATTTCAATATTTTATAGCTCCTTAAAAAGCCTTTAACACAAGAAAGCAGATTGCACAATTTCTGCAAAGAAAATAGATAGCTCAAGAACCCAATTATATAGATATTTTGGGTAAACCAGACGTAAGTCGGAATAGGCTAAAGTAAGTGATCATCATAAATTACAAACAAAAAAGGGGAAAAGTGAAAACTCTTAGATGTGAAATGCTGATGTTCTGTTCTAGGTTTTAATTCCCGAAAATCTCGTGAAACTTAAATGGTAAATCTGTATTTTGTAACATCGTTCATGTTAGGAACTTTGGAGTGTAACCAATATAACCAATAAAAACGACATGAGTGCAAACCATTTATCTTCTTTTTTTTAGTCTTGCTGAGGGCCGTGGACGTGGTGGTTTCGAAGACAGAGGTCGAGGTCGTGGTTTTGGTGGCTTTGGAGATTGGGATCGAGGTCGAGGTCGCGGTGGATTTGGATTTGGAAGAGGTGGATTTGGAGATTGGAACCAGCCTGGAAATGAAGTGGAAAATATTGAAGATCAGAATCCATTTGCCGATGAGCACAATCCTTTCTCTGAAAACAATGCTCCGGGTACAGAACAAAGTACAAGAGAGGAACCTCAAGAGGCTTTCTCTGGGACTGAGCCCTCTCAGGAGACTACAAAAAGTTCTGAACTAGCCTCCGGTAAACCTCAGTCCAGGTTTGATGCTCCGCAGCAAGAGTTCCTTGGCCAACCCAGCCAGCCTGGAACAGAAAACCAAGAAGAAACTGAACAAAAAAATGACGGAATCATGGCACAACACGGGGTTGATCATCAAGATGGGCAAATGGAAATAAACCCTGGTGTTTCTGGTCAACAGGGCATCATGTTTGGAGCGACTGAAGAAACTGGTGGTAGAGCTGTGTCTGATGAAGGGCATGAAAAGGCCGAGGAAATCTATGGTCAACATGTTGCTGAAAGGGATGAGCAGAGATTGAATGTAAGGGAAGTGAATGCTGAACTTTCAGAAAACAAGCTCCAAGTTCCGGAGGAACTAGCACCGTCACATCACGAACCTGAATCATCAGAGTTAGTTTTCGAACCTGCGCAACATGAGGAAAGGCCCAATTATCCAGAGCCAGCTGAACATATGGCACTAAATTTGCGTGAACAAGATAACTCGTCTGCACCGGAAGCAATGCCTGCAGGAGAACCGCTGGAACAGATGGTACCTCAGCAGCAAGAAGTTTTTCAATCTGGCCAAGTGATAGAAAACCAGCTTCCTACAGTAGTAGAGCATGAAGTCCAAGAGCCGTCCCAGCCAGATTTACCAAACCTAGCTGCTGAAGTGATTGAAGGAACTGGAGAGACCAGTTCTGAAAAAGAGTAGGGGTTTATTTGTTGAAGACAAGATGACACCGTGCTATTTACTTCTTTTGAATGTATTGTAATTAATTCTCTTAATATGTCTTTCTTTCTAACTTTCTATCCTGGTTCTAACTTCTCTCACTTTGATTCAAACAAAAGGTTTAGTTGTTTGTAAAGGGTTTCGTAGGTTCCCTTCATTATTATTTAATACTTGAGAAGCGGGTGTTATATTAAAATTTTGGAGAGGATCGATTAGTCTTGAATATTTATATTGTTCTTCTGAACATATATAAAGCTAGATCAATGTTGAAGGATTGGAAGTTAGATTGACTGATTATCACACTTATCAAATCAATTATAAAACGCATGTGGGGAGGGGGGGGGGGGGGGGGGGGGGGGGGGGGGGGGGGGGATTTTGTAGTTTATCATGAAATATAATTTGTTTGCATAAATTCTTTTAAAAAGCACTTCATGTTATTTTAATTGCGAACTTTTTCTTTATTTTTTCATCAGGCTGGAATAAAGACATGTTGAGTAAAAGCAGTTGGAATTATGATTATAATTTGGAACATAGAAGTAGTGACTATTTAAACTGATCTGTCACACGAGGGCGGAGGGAGGGAACCCCCGGACGCTATGAGCCTCCGCTAAACAAACACGAGCCTTTTAGATTTGTTAGGCAGACCGCGCCTACGCTAAGCAGTAATATGCAATAAGCATGCGCAATACATCAAAAGTGCCGGTGTAATACTGGAGGTTTTTAAAGCTTGTGTTTTAAGTTAAATAAATGATTTATACAAATCTTTTGACATATTGGCATGAGAGGCCTCTCAAATATGAGAAGTTTTATCAATTATCATAAATAGTGCCTGATCATGACAAATAAAGTGGTTTATAACATTTTTAACATTTTTTAAATGGAAAGGATTAAATTGAGAGAAAAAAATTCTTCTGATTTTAATTTAATTTTTTATGATCTTTGATTTAAGCAATACTTTTTTTTGTAGCTGAAATTAAATCTAGAAAATTTGTTTTATTTATTTAAATCTTAACATTTTTCAAAAAGAGGTATTGTTTAAATCAAAAATAACAACAAAACAAACGAATTTTACTCCAGAAATATTTTTCAAAATGTCTTCCTTTATGTGTAAGAAATGTTTAAAGTTGTAGTATAAATCTTATAAACCACTTTTTGACGCCATATATGTTTCTAATCGATAAATAAATCTTATCCTAAGTAAAATTCTTATGCCACTACGTCAAAAAAAAAATTTGCTTTTTAACACATAAAAACCAAGATTTTAAAAGGCTGTGCTGTATGGTTAAGGCTCGTTTACTGCATAGCGGAGGCTCTGTCTGCCTAGTAAATCTGGGAGGCTCGTGTCTGCATAACGGAGGCTCATGGTATCCAGGGATTCCCTCCCTCGTCACACAGGGTTCTCCATTAAGGAGTAAGACCGGACACTACTGTACGAATTTCATAGATTTCTGTAATTTCCTTAGATTCTTACTCATATGAAAAGACCGAAGACCAATCGATAGAACTAAAGAGGGTTAGGTTAGGGGTCTTCTGTCGTTGAGGGTAACCCTGTTTTAAGTTATTTGTATGTAGCATTATTATATAAGTTCATTCATTCATATTTTTATTCAACTACATAGCATGAGATACTACAAATAAGCAATCACAATTTACTATGCAGTTTGGACCCCCCTAACCAGGGTTGGTTGTTTTGCGTGGTTGGCCCGAAGTTGTTCACTTGTAATCCGCATTATTTAAATTTATTTAAATTGTTCAAATTTGAAGATAGAACATTAGCAGCTCATCGGAGAGGTATCTTATCAAAACGATTTTCTTCGTTTCTTTATTTGACTTTATTTGAGAAAATCAAGTGTTGAGTATTTTTAGTGATTTAGTGGGTACCGATACCGCTTACCATTTTTTTGCACTTATAAATATTAAGATTTTCGTTCAAATTTCATTTTAAGAAAAAAAAACCAGCGCTGAAAGGTGGATACGCATTTAATATACTGCCGTTTGAATTATTGGTCATTCTAACTACTGATAATGACGTCATTTACTGTAGTTCAAACAACACATTGTTTTCTCATTTGAACTATTATTAAGTATCCAGTTCAAAATTTTTATATTTCATGAAAAAATATTGGTCAAACGATCATCACAAAACAGTTTAAATGATCAAAAATATTTCACCGCGCTGCGACAAATACAGGCTAGGGGGCCAAGCGCCGCAGCTAGGACAGGCAAGGGGGCCAGGAGCTGCGGCCACATGACAAACTTTATCCATGTGTTAAATATGAGATGCTCGAGTGTAGTAAGTCAACTATTTCTTGGCTCATTTGAACTATTTTTTTGACACATTTTAACTGTTTTTTGCTCTTATGGACTAATGTTTTGCTCATTTGAACTATTTTTTTGACACATTTTAACTGTTTTTTGCTCTTATGGACTATTGTTTTGCTCATTTGAACTATTTTTTTGCTCGTATGAATTTGTTTGCTCATTTGAATTATAGTTTTGCTCATTTGAAATATTTTTTGGCTCATTTAAACTTTTTTTGCACATTTGAACTATTTTTTTTGGCTCATGTAAACTATTTTTGGTTCATTTAAACTATTTTTTGATCATTTGAACTATTTATTTTCTCATTTAATTTTTTTTTGGCTCATCTGAACTATTTTTTGGCTCATTAACTATTTTTATTAATAGTTCAAATAAGCAAAAAAATAGTTAAAATGCTTACAGAATGTTTTTGTTTGTGTTTGAACTATCAGTCGTTAGAACTACTAGTCTACTACACGTAGTACCACATGCAATTGTTCAAAAAGTCATTAGTTCAAACGGCAGTAGTTAAACTTAAATAGTATCGTGAATTCATGAATGGTTGATTGCCGGGGTAAATCTTGTTCGCAAAAATTCATTTAAAAAAATATGAAATTTTAATTTATTTACTGTAAATTGGGTATTTACCTCTGAATAAAAACAAATTTTAAAAGGTNAATTTTAGAGGGTAAGTTTTTTTTGGGGTTGAATTGAAAAATAGTTGTTTAAAATCACAGTTTCTTTTGAACATCATATAACATCAAAAATATAATACATGACTTGATGAACAAATCACATTAAATAACGTTATTTAACATATAAGCTATTTAAAATTTTGAACTTTTGACTTTTTCATTTCCTAGGGTTTGTTAGAGGAAATTCTAAGAAAATTAATGTCAATTATTATGAAAATTGAACCTGAACATTTACTATAAAAAATTAAAGTAATCAGAGGGAAATAGAAATAGAATATTATATATGTTCAGTGTAAATTATTAAAAATATATTTTTTAATTTGATGTTGAATTAACGTATTTTAACAATGCAAAATACAATTTTTGACAAGGAAAAAATATCAAAATAACGTCATATGACGCCATTAAAAATTTTGTCTTTTAAAGTTTTAATTTTGCTATTTTTTCTATTTTAAATAGTTTACTAGCAGTATATAAAGGAACTACTACCAAGAAAAAGTTGTAGTGATGAAATTTGATCTTGAACATAACAAAAAAATGAAAAAAAACATTAAAAAACGTCTTGAAAAAGTGATGTCAAATGAAGACTGTACTAATTCTCCAGTAAAAATGGATCAAGCCGAGAAATTTTAATGATTTAGTTTCAAAACTAGAAAGCAGGATGAGACGCGAATTATGTCGTTCAGGATAGATTGAGGTGGTGTATTTTTCGACCTACACATATCCGCCATACTCCACTTCTGACCTGCTATATGGACTTGTGGCCGCAGCGCTCGGCCCCCTAGCCTGTCCTAACCGCAGCGCTCGGCCCCCTCGCCTGTCCTAGCCGCAGCGCTCGGCCCTCTAGCCGCAGCGCTTGGCCCAGAAATTGTCTTAACCTAACCTAACCCTCAAAAAATACTAAAATAAACAGCTGGCGTAGGTCCGATATTGCAGTAGGGGGGATGTTGCGTATAGACGATGTAACATTACCTAGATTGATCCTTTCTTTTTCTTAATCTCGAGACTAACCTAATATTATTTCCTGCAAAGTGTATAAAATTCAACCAATCAGAGTCGCGTACAAGAAGCCGATAAACTTGAAATTTTGCGCGCAATTTAAGATTTATATACTGAAACGATAGGGACTCTCCTCCAGACTATGGAGTATGGACCTAAGATGGGAATGCGCAGTTTGGTTGGAAATTCTACAAGAAAAACAGTTGGGAGTGTTAAGAATATTCTAAAGAAACATTAACAGAATTTTTTTACTTATAAGGAATAGTACTTCAAGGAATTTTATCAATTTTTTTAATGTATGAGTAGGGTGCAACCATGATGGTAAATTTTTTGTTCTTGATACCGGTTTTTTATGAGGGTGAACCAAAAAAAATATCGCCCCGCCAGGCAAAACCTCCAGTACGCCCCTGGTCGTCGTATATATCGATACTATGAAGACGACTTGCTATTTTGATTTCTACCAAGATTTCACAAATAGCAGAAACACTAAACATTTAAACAAAGAGAAATTGTTAATTAAAACCTTCTCTTTAATTACTTGTCAACATTGAAAGCATTATTGATTAGAAGATGATTTGTATTATTGATAATATCGCCGACTACTGTAAAGTGTAAAATAAGAAATATTCTTCAGAATTTAGGAGTGTAAGTTTCAATTTTGACCGGCAACAAAACTTCCCTTGAGTTACAAATTAAAAACAGAAAATCATCAAATCAAACCTTTTATTTCATATTATAAACTAGAACTAACATGTAAAGGAATATAAAACTACAATCAAAGTGTACTTAAAAAACATATGTTAAAAGCAGATAAAAGAAATAACAGTAGTGAGACATGGAACGTCCAACAGATGGGGGAAAATAAGCTCATGCGCACACATTTAAGAAAAACAATTAGCAGATCCATTGGGAAAATTTCAAATGGATATGGATTTATCAAATTATTGATTGGTTGATATGAAAATGCAATACAGAACACGAAACTACATTATTTTGAGGCTTCCTTTGGAGAGTTGAGCGTATTGATTTTATTCCTGGGACTAGTATTGATTAATATACATAAACTGGCATTTCTGTAACTGGTTGATGTACTCTGCACTAAAAAATAATAATGTAAATTAAAATTAAACAAAAGTGAAAAGCACATTTTCCAGATGATATTATCAAATTGAATTTAAATATATAAATATTATTCATATTAATTTTTTTTATTTACAGCTTCGTGACATATTTCATGGCATAAATCAATCTTCCTGTAGTATGTAAGTTTTCATTTTTAAATTAACTGAAAGCATAACTTCTTAAGTAACCCTCCATGCAAGGATGGATATGTAAGATTCACAACGGTACCCATAAAAGCTTTGTCTAATCAAGTTAGAATTATTTATATCAATGTTTATAAGTTTAAAAACTGACCATTTTCGATTTTGGTTCCTCTACAGATATGAGTAAAACATTTCTACTGCAGGAAAACATATAGAAATTATCAGAATTAAAGGGACAGTAAAGGAAAAATGAAAGGGGGTATAGACTGAAAGCTAATCACTTTAGCTCTCGATCGCGTCCCATGAAAGTTTTATCTGATGTTCCTATCTCGAGAAATTGATTTACAACTGTGTCAAATTTATACGAAAATTAATATATATACAATTTTGTATAAAAGTAGTGGGTTTAAATAGATCAAATTCAGCAAATAAGCAACCAATCTGAAAACGATAATATCCCCGAGAAAGCTAATTATTACTTAGGTTTACTCCAATTCTAATTTTATATTTGTTATTTCTATTTTTAATAGATTTAATTCATAATATTATTTACACGTCCGAATTGCTTGACCAGAAAATCCACCAATGACAGTGCAGTAAAGTGGTCACGTGATACAGGCAGAGACACGTGATCAGTATACTGCTCTGCCATTGGTGATAGTTCTGGTCACGTGATTTAAGTTT